TGTGGAAAATAATCTAGGGGTCACAGTGTCCTGCAAGCTCAATATGACTTTACATTGTAACACGGTTGCAAAAAAGGTAAATATCATTCTCAGATGTATTAGCACGGGTATTATAAGCAAGACACAAGAAGTAATTCTTATGCTCTTCTCTATGCTGATTAGGGCTCATTTGGGGTATTGTGTCCACCTCTGGGGACCACATTTCAGGAAAGATGTGGACAGATTGGAGAAAGTCCAGAGAAGAGCAACAAAAATGATTAAAGGTCTAGAATACATAAGCTAAAAAGAGAAGATTGGAAACACTGGGTTTCTTTAGAGTGCAAAACAGAAGATTGAGAGGCGACATGGTAACCATTTTCAAGTACATAAAAGGTTGTCATAAGGAACGGGGAGAAAAATTCCTTTTAACTTGTGAAGATAGAACAAGAAGCAATGGGCTTAAATTGCAGCAAGTTTAGGTTGGACATTAGGAAAAACTTCTTAACTGTCAGGATAGTTCAGCACTGGAATGAATTAATTAGGGAGGCTGTGAAATTTCTGTTATTAGAGATTTTTAAGAGCAGGCTAGACAAGCACTTGTCAAGAAGAGTTTAGATCAGGTCTCGGAAAAATATGGCCCACCCAGCCACTGGATCTGTCTTCCAGATGCAGCAGGGAGCTAAAGACATATTCCCCTGCTTCCCTACGCCCCCTCGCCCACCTCGCTCAGAAAAACGTTATTCTTTCTGGGCTGTGAGCCTGAGAGAGGGAGGAGTGGTGCTTCACTCGCTGTGCCTGCCCCCAGCACAATTTGAAGAACGGCAAGCCCACAAAACAATCTCCCCTCTCCTCAGGCTCTTATTCACCAACACACATGGGGTATGTCTAGACTACATAGCTCCGTTGACGGAGCCATGTAAACTAGTTTACCTGGTATAGGCAAAGAAGCGAGGATTTAAATAATCCCCACTTCATTAAAATAAACATGGCTTCCACACTGTGCCGACGATCAGCTGATCCGGCACAGTGTGGCAGTCTAGACGCGGATCTGTCAGCTGGGGAAGCCTTTGCCGACCGATCCCTTATGCCTTATTTAAATCCCCGCTTCTTTTCCTATGCTGGGTAAACTTGTTCATATGGCTCCATTGACGGAGCCATGTAGTCTAGATATACCCATGGCTCCTGCAGCCTGTGTGGGGGTGGGGCAGGCAGGAAAACTGCCTGAGAAATGTCCTGGGGAGACTGAGGGTGAAAGATCACCTTTGAGAGGCCAGTGTATGCATCCCCAGGCATCTCATGGTTGCCTGCGAGTCCTTGAGGGGGTGTAGCTTACTGTCACTCTGCTCTGAGAATAGTCTGTTGCCCATGAATGCAATATCTTGTAATGTAGTCTGGACCTCCGGGAGGAGTCCTGAGGCTTGAAGCCATGCAGACCGGTGCAAAACCACCTCTGTCAAGAGAATTCATGCCACTGAGTCTGCAGAATCTATGGCTGCCCAGAGAGAAGTTCTAGCTATTGTGCAGCCGTCCTCCAGCATGGCACTGAGCTCCTGCCTATTAATGGCATTGCATCTCTTATCAAGGTTAGGGTTCTCCACACTAAGCTGGCTCCTGGGGCTGATTTTTCACCCTAAGGGTATTTTAACATGGATTCCATCAGGAGCTGTTGGAGCCTACGCTCTCTGTCCATTCTAGTACAAGGCTTAAATCTTTGGCAAATCTTGTATTTTTCATCATAGAGAAAAACAAAGTGAAGACCAAAGAACAAAAGCTAACACTAGGGACTAAGCACTCGCTAAGCAAGAGATAGCTACAGTTACAATATCAACATGGACGGTAAGAAGGAACCGAAGGAGGGGAGTGTCGACAGTGGTATATATGCTCTGATATAGTGGCACCACTCAAGGGTTCTCCACCACCAACCCTACAAGAGCTGATAGGGGAAAAGTTTCTGACATTTGTGTACGTGGAGCATGTAAACCTAAATTGGAATCGATGTGAATAATCACTCAAAGAAGAACCTCACTTTCAAATGGCTGAAGGCGCCCTCCATAAGCATGCAGGCCTTTCTGAGCCTGGCATTGAAACATTCCTTGTTTTGTTTGAGATTTCCCTTGTAGGACTCCATCAGTCAGGGGACCAGAGGGTAGGCAGCATCCCCCATGATGTGTATCGGCATGTCTACTTCCTTAACTCTGTTGGTGTAGTCTAGGAAAAAAGTGCCTATGTGCAGCTTCTGGGTGATGCTGGAGTTGCAGTACTGCCTTCCTTGACCACCCAACATTAATGTTGGTGGACCGACCGTGGGGGTGGTCCATGAGGGACTGCAGGACCATGAAAGAGTGCTCTTTCTGGTTGATGTATTCGGAGGCCTCATGCTTGGGGGCCTGAATGGGGATATATGTACTGCCAATAGCCACACACATACATACACACCCTGCAGTTAGGGAAGCCCATGATGGCAAAGCTGGCAACAATGGGGTCCACATTGCCCAAGATGTTGAGCCGGCACAGCAGGATGGCGTTGAGGGTCCTCACCACCAGTAGAAGGAGATAAACAGAAAATAACAGGGTTGCCAGCACCCTCAGGAGGTCCCCAAACTCAACCTTTCACCCCAAACACACCAGGAACAACCCGCTACTTACCCCATCCCCTGGTAGGGCTTTGTGAAGGCGGGAATGAAAAATCATTCAGAGAGGGAGCCTCCACCATCATCACAGTGTGATGGCAACCTGCTTTTGGAAGGGGATGGTGGGTCTCATGTGGGTGTCCTGTTGCCTGAGGGCAGAAGCAAGCCACTCACACAGCTCCAGAAAGGTGTCCTTGCACTTGCAAAAGTTCTGGAGCCACTGCTGGTCACCCTACTTCTCCATGACAATCCTGTCCCACCAGTCGGAATTGGTGCCCAGTCTCCAGAGGAGGCAGCGCATGGTGCACAGGGAAGAGAGGGAGGTGTTATGATGTATGAGCAGCATGTGGAGAGAGGAGAGAAGGTGCCCCACAATGAGCTGGGGGTCTTGCTCTGGCAGGGCCACAAGGGCAGCCTGCAGTAACTGCAGCAGGAGGTGCGGCATGGGGTCTAAGAGCCGTTGACTGCTTGGAGGCAGACCTGGCTCCATGGCAGGAGTGCTGTGGTTACCGCAAGGGAAACCAGAGCAGGCAGTGGTAAGGCTTTGCTGTCCCTCAAGGAAGTAGGCAAAGGAGAAGAGCCTGAGAAATGACCGTAGACAGGGGTCCCTTTAATCCTTAGATAGGTTCAGGAAACAGCTCAAAGAAGTGACAGCTGTCATGATGCCCTGCCTGAAGTGCTTCTGGGAGCTTTAAACGTGACTGAGACTCCAATCAGTTTGTTTGCTCTATTTTGAAATAGCTCATTGATGGGCATGTGCAGCGTAGACATGCTATTTTTAAATCAGCTATTTCGGAGTTTCTATTCTGAAAGAGCTTATTTTGAAATAAGTGTGCAGTGTAAATGTACCTTAGAAAATCCCATTTCAGCAAAACCATCCTCTATGTTCTACACATCTCCTAGAGTCACTACCATGCTGAGCAGAAGTCAATTAATGGACCTGAAAGTTGGGATCGATCACACGGCTTTCATGTGGATTTACCGGTTCCAAATTGAGTCCCTGCCGACTGGCAGTGGTTTGGCTTTACAAGCTTCCACAGAATGATTGCCGCTCACTTGTCCACTATCAGAGCACATCTCATTTTAGCAATGCTGTGTGTCACTTCTGGGGAAAGCTCTACACAAAGCTCCTGGAAAGTGCCCTTCTACATTCAAAAATTCTGTAAACACTGCTCACTGTCCCAGAGTTGCATAATGATGTTACCCCACCAGTCAGAGCTTGTTTTTCAGACTCAGAAACAGTGTTCCACCATATCCACGTACTGCAAGCAACAACTGACTTCAGGGGGCTGCTTGAAGGACATCATAATGCTCTGCACAGTGACTCCTGTCTCAGGAAAGGTATTTGTAACTTTCACAGCAAGCGTGCACAGCTGAGTGAGGTCCATGTTTCTCGGCCTATGAAATATACCACGCTAAGCCAGGTTTTTGAAAACAGGTACAAGAATGTGGGTTGTTTGCGATTGACACCAAGTAGAGTTGGGGGAAGGGAGGAAACTTCACCTGTGAATGTGAAGTCTGGTTCCCATTCCACACAGCAACAATGTTTGGTACTGTAAGGCACTGCAACCTTTCCCAGTCTCCTCTGCAGTTAGCTTCACTCTGGGATGGTTTGCCATAGTTTACTGCTCTCTGCATCCATGCAAGCACCGCTAGCAAGGACACACACCACTGGCATTGTTACACATCAGTTACATGTCAACTTACATTAAATGAACTGAACTTTGTAATTTAGACATGCTCTAAGAAACAATGAATTATCCACACAGCAGACAGAAAGTATGTACATGCACGCATGTACGTGTGAGTGTGTGTATGTACATACACACCTGGGACATGGACAATAGCACATAAGGGTATATAATCCTTGTAAGTCTGTCACCCTCACAGGCTATTTCCTGACAATTGAAAATCCTCAAGACAAAAGAACCACATTAGCTTTTCTTTCACAACACAAAATATCCCTCTTCATAGGTCACTCCCAACGTAGGTTTCTATTGATCTTTGCTCACACTTTCTAAGACTGCTAGACCCCAGCATCTTCTTTCTCTTTCTCTCTCTCTCTGGGAGATACTAAGTCTTTAAACTATTCCCTTTCAAGAGAGAGAGAAATGCTAGTGGAAGGATCAGCAACAAGGAGGGAGGAAAAGCGACAAAAGAGAAAAGCACCTCTCCAAATCCTACAGCCAATTTACTGAAAGCCTGTTCCCACTTCTGGTGCCTTCTAATGCTGTTGCTACTATCTGGTGTGAAGAAGAATCCTTTTAAAGAGAGACTTGTATCCTTGGATGACAATCTTGGCTAGGAGAATGCAGGAGCCGGAACGGAGCAATGAAGTAGTAACACTCACCCAGTTCCCAGTCCTGGTCCATCCAATGATGCACTGCACTGTATAAATATTAGTATTTATAGTACAGTAAATTTTTTAGAGAAAATACAAATGTATATGTACTTACTAAGACACTGTGGCTTGGGATTCCAGCCCTCTTTAGTGCATATGGAGTATCTTTCGTTGGTTTTAGGTGTGTAACCTTGATCACATTGGTAGTGAATTGTCCTACCTAACGTTGCTGGAAACATTTGTTCTCTGTAATATTCATAAGTCCTAGTTAATGCTCCGTTTTCTATATGTGGGTACTCACAGGGTCTCACTTTGAAAAAAGTTTAAAATAAATATTATTACAAACTATATGCAAGAAAAATCCAGTTTGCTAAGTTCTGAATATTCGCATTCTAGTTCTCTTCTCAGCATTTGTACTTTATTACTTGAATGTTACATTAACTGGAGTGAGGAGTTCAGAACATGTACACTCTAATGATCAGGGTTATCTTCTCTCTCATATTGGTAATATTGTCCTACTACAGGAGACTTCCAATAATCCAGAACCTATGGGATTTAGGTGGTGCTGGATTATCAGATATGCCGGACTATCAGGAGGTACTATAAGCAGGTTATATATATATACTGTATACATTATAAATTGTATATAAAGTGTTCTTAACCCTTTTATTGTACATACTGTATACAGTATACTGTAATGTTTTAGATTTTTTAAGCCTTTTTTACCCTTTTTGCTCAGTTCAGCTGCTGCCGCTGTTACCTTGTGACTCATTTTTTGATGAGGCTCACTCACTAGGCTCTTGCCATTTTAATGACGGACTATCAGGAGTGTGGGACTATTGGATGCCAGACTATTGGAGTTTTACTGTAATAGGATCTGACTGTTTTAGAAAATTGATAATGAGGGAAGAAAAATATGGTACAAACCTAGGGCTATTATGTATGGCTTTGTCTATACATCAGCATTATTTCAGAATAACTGTCATTATCAGGGCTCAACAAATCCACTTATATACTCGCGAGTAGATTTCAGCTGGTGGAGGACTTCTTACTCTGACTCCTGTAACCCTCAGTTCATGAGGAGTAAGGGAAGTTGAAGGAAGAGTGTTCTTCCTTCGACTTTCTGTTATGTAGGCAGCACCACAGCTGTTAAGCTATTTCACCTTCAGCTATGCAATCAACGTAGCTGAATTGCGCAGCTTAATTTCGATGTAGCCCTGCTGTGTAGACATAGCCTCAGTGATTGACTCAGAATCCAATTATGACCTATAGGTTTTTGTTTTACCATTCATTCAGTACATCAGTCTTATTTTTGACATTCTACCATTTGGATACACACAGTTACAAATCTTCCCTGTTGAAAGTTGAATCTAGCACATTTCTCAAACAAATCATAGCACATACGTATAGTAATTTACAACTCTACTAACTTATACCATATCATCTGATTTTCACAGATGTTTATCTAAGTCCATTAAGGTAAAACTTGTAGTTATGTCTGTTTCATTTCTTTTTACATTGTCAGTTGCAGAAATTATATAAATACTTGTATAACTGGGCAGTAACAGTTTTAAATATGATAAATTAAAACCAACTTACAGGTACATCTTGGAAAAGGCATCCACCCAGTCTTTGTGCATTCGGCAATATTGTTCCTATTATTTGTATCAAAGTGAAATCCTGCCTTACAGCTCACTCTGATTATATCCTCTTCTTTGAACACTTTCCTTGGAGGGTGGTAGGTTCCATTAGCCACTGATGGAGGATCACATGTAATTTCTAAACAGAAATACACAAATAAGTTTAACAACTGGAAACAGGATATTATGCTGTAAGTCTCCCCTTCAGTTAAGATCATTTGTATCTTAGGGAATGTCTACATTACAATGTTATTTTGAAATAACAAGAGTTATTTCAAATTAACAAGGTAAACATCTACACAGTAAGCCTGTTATTTCAAAATAATTTCAAAATAATTGGTTCTTATTCCAGAATAATAAATCCTCATTTCATGAGGAATAAAGCCTATTTCTAAATAACTATTTTGGGAGTTATTATTCTGAAAGGGTACGTCTACACTAGCCCCCTAGTTCGAACTAAGGAGGATAATGAGGGCGCCCAAAATTGCTAATGAAGCACGGGATTTAAATATCCCACGCTTGATTAGCATATTCCCGGCCGGTTGCCATTTTGGAAACTGACTAGCTCAAAGTAACTGCCCGCATCTACGTGCGGCAGAGAAGCAGGATTCCGAGATAAACTCTTTAGTTTGAATTAACTCTTAAACCTCATTCCATGAGGAGTAGCAGTTAATTTGAAATAAGGGGTTTATCTCGGAATCCCGCTTCTCTGCCACGTGTAAACGCTGGCAGTTACTTTGGGCTAGTCAGTTTCCAAAATGGCGACCAGCTGGGATTATGCTAATCAAGCGCGGGATATTTAAATCCCGTGCTTCATTAGCAATTTCAGTCACCCTCATTAGGCTCCCTAGTTCGAATAGGGGGCTAGTGTAGATGTACCCAAATAGCTTATTTTAAATAATGCTGCAGTGTAGATGTACCTTAACTTGTTTACTAGCTTTACTACAGGTTGAACTTCTCTTAACTGGGACCCTCTGGTCCAGCAACTTCCATAGTCCAAAAGGACCAGGTATATTCCAGGACCAAAGAGTCCCATGGAGGGCTGGTAGCTGGAGCCCTACAGCAGGGCTGGAGCTCAGTGGAAGATCTGCCCTGTGGCAGTGCAACTGGGCTGCCACCCAGGCTGGCAACTCTGGGAGGCAATAGAGTTATGTGGCAATGAGGGTCGGGAGCCCAGCATTCCCGCTGCTTCCCAGAAGCCCAACTGTCTGGCAGGACTAGATGACAGCAGGCTGTACCATAGGGCCAGGAGCCCAACCATGAAATTGCCTGGTGGCAGGGCTAAGAACCCAGGAGTGGGACTGTTGCCTGATGGTACAACAAAGAACTCAGTAGCCTTGCTGCCATCCAGTGGAGGTGCTGGTGAGGCTGGGAGGCAACAGATCTGCCCCATGAAGCTGAATCCCAAGCAGGGCTGCCACCCAGCTGAATCCCAGCAAGAGGACTGCTCTGAGGGGTTGGGAGGTTGATAGTGGGGCTGTGCTTCCTGTGGCAGGGCTGCCATGGTGGGGCCAAGAGCCCTGAGCCAAGGGGCTTGCTGCAGGGGGAAGCTGGCTTGGAGAGAGGCAACAGGCAGTGGGCAAGCGACCAAGGAGCTTGTGGCAGGGGGATCCCAGAAATGACCTTCCTTGGTCCGGCAAAATCCCTCATCCGGGATCAGTCAGATTCTAAGGGTGTCAGACCAGGGAGGTCCAATCTGTAGCTTTTCATATCTGAACATCATCTTCATAAAATTGGCACAGTAAAATTCCTATGGACTAAAATTCTATAGCTCTTTTGATGTGAATATTTGCTTGAGGTAGTTTATTTTATTTTGGGTTTCAGAATGGAGCAGCTGTTGTTTTAAGCATCATTCTGACTACTGTGGAAAAACATTATCCAAGAAATGAAGTCTCCCAGAGACCTAAATGTGACTGTACTGGATTTGTCTAATCTCTTCCACACTGCATCCTTGGTGTATTTGGCTGGATAGAATAAGAGAGCCCATGGCAAATAAATCATTTAAGTCATGTTAACATTTTAAAGACATGGAAAAAAAGAAGAAAATGCAGATAACGCATTTGAAATGTAAGGTATAAAATAAGACTTTTTATTTTAAACAGCATCCCTTATGTCCTACTCCTCTAGCAGTGGAGAGTATTATAAGAATAACTCTATGACTATTTTTAGACGGTATTAAAGATGTTGGCAACTGTTCTTTAACGAGGAAAAGAGATGTTAGTTCAGATGGGTTGGAGCTGCTATTGTTAAATTTGGATCCTGCTTCAAGACAAAATAAAACAAAATGGGAAATAAAGGAATACCAAAAACAGACAACTCAGCTTTTGTCTCTGGTGCCGATTCATACTTGCAACTTCAATGCTGGAGAAACATAAACAAAGCAAATCCCTTTATCTGGCACCTGGCAAATGTGTACCTATTTAGGGATTGCCTTTAGCTAATTTTTTTTGGTTATGGGATCATAGCAGTGTTGCAAACTGTACAATCCTGGCTGCTTAGACCAGGCTTTTACTGAGCCAGCATTTCTCAAATTGGTCAATGAAGCCACTCTCAGAAAAATGCTATGTGAATCAAACCCACCATCCCAGGTGAGTGTCCTCACCCTTATGCTATGCCACAACCAACCCCACCACTGTGTCTTCAGTGGGTGCCTTATCCTGCCTTCCTAATGGGGGAAGCTAGCTGACCCACCACCTTACACCCCTCAGGTGAGTGCCCTCACCCCTTGCCCACACCCCCAGTTTGGCTACTTACTAGCTCTGCAGCCACGGAGCCTGAGGGTCCTTTTGGCTGTGGTTCAGTGTTTTAGCCAAGGGGAGAAACTTTGAGAAACACTGTACTAACCAAAGGCAAACTGAGAGATAGCTAGTAAAGATATGGCACGGGTGGAAAATGACATGACAGAACGAAGGACAACAAGAAACACGTTAACTGACCACTCCAGTTTGTTTATTTACCAGTGCCATGGCCACACAGACTCCTGGCTGCTGTTGGCTCCAGAGCAGGAGGAAGTGGTGGCCCAGCCCACACCACTTCCCGCAGTTCCCATGGGCTGCAAAGGGCAAAACGGAGCCAACGGGAGGTATTCAAGATTTAGCTGGAGACAGTGAAGGTGACAATGTCTTGTCGGTCCATTACTGTGTTCCAGTTTTGTCAAGACATCTTTCAGGATCAAGATGAATGCCCAATGGTGTGATCGTAACCCATGAGATTAAGGATGCAGCCTTGATGACAAAATCCCACTGCTTCCAGACTGCTCATCTCCCATCCAGCCATCTAACTCTCCTTGAAGGGTTTTTTAAGGATTTGTCAGAGGATGCTCATTCAGCTACCTAATGTTCTGCACTATCTCTTTCATTTGTGTGCTCTCTTATTTATATCATACACACAGTTTCTTTCCCCCATAAGATCTTTAATCTTTAGATTCCAAGTGCTGCAAACCATAGTATAGGCATGTGATTTAAAGGGCTCGAGCCTCTGGCCACCAGTGCTACTGTAACAGTGTTGGTGGACGGAGGCCCTGCTGCTTTAAATTCATGGTGGAATGCTGTGCCACATGCTTTGTGTGGCTCTATCGGCTCTGGAGGAGCAGTGTGGTATGCTCTGGGCAGCATAAAGGACTGGCTGTCCTTGCCCATCCCGTCTGCCTGAAGATCCGCCCTTTCTGAGAACCTGGAGCTCTTGCTCAGGGGCCCATGGAGGCTGTTAACTCCCTGGGCACATGTTAAGAAAGTTCCTTCCACTTAGCCTTCTCTACCACATCCAGCTCACTCTCTGTGCTTCCCCATTAGTTCCTCTTCCTGCCAATTACATCTCTTCTCCTTACTGAATTAATTATATATTTAGCTCAACCTCTGCCCCCAGTGACAACAGTTCCCACCATAATAGGAATGGCCTTTTAAAAGCTGTAATGGAAGATTGTATTTTATTTTATTTTGTCATTGAGGCTGTCAGATCGCCTAGATTCTCTGATAAGTTAAATCGGCCCATGGGCACCACCACTTCATAGCTCAATTAACTTGTAGACGCTTAATAAAATAGAAATGACAGCACTTGTTTAGCAGATAATTCAAAGAATCATAGAGTCAAAGAACACTAGGGGTGTGTCTAGACTACAGGGTTTTGTTGACAAAAGTGGACTTTTGTCGACAAAACTAAACCTGCGTCTACACTACCGCTGAGTTCTGTCAACATAATGTCGACAGAACTCAGCAGTTTTGTTGACGCTGGTAAACCTCATTTTACGAGGAATAACGCCTTCTGTTGACAGAGTTCTGTTGACAGAAGGCATTATTGCATCTAAACTGTCCTTTGCGTCCACACTGTTATGTCGACAAAGCAGCTTGCTTTGTCGACCGAACTGAATGTAGTCTAGACGCTCTTTGTCGACAGAAGCTTTGTCGACAGTATCTGTCGACAAAACTTCTGTTGACAAAAGCCTGTAGTCTCGACGTACCCTAGAACTGGAAGGATTCACAAGAGGTCATCAAGTCCTGTCCCCAAAGTGGAATCACTTTGAGAAAAACATTAACCGTCCACCCTGGATTATTTATTTACTGGTGCCATGGCGATGGAGCCTCCCGTTGGTTCAGTTTTGTCCTTTGCAGCCCACGGGAACTGCGGGAAGTGGTGTGGGCTGGGCCACCACTTTCTTCTGCTCTGCTTGGCTGCAAACAGTGAAACGGAGCCAACAGCAGCCACGAGTCTGTGTGGCCATGGCACTGGTAAATAAATAAACCGGGGTGGTCAGTTAACATGTTTCTCAAAGTGATTCCATGGAACACTTTCAGAAACTCTGATCTAGACCATCCTTGACAAGTGTTTGTCTAACCTGCTCATAAAAATCTCCAGTGAGGCAGATTCCATAACCTCCATAAGCAATTTATTAAGCTTTGTCTAGACTACAGGTCTTCTTTCAGAAGAAGCTTTTTCAGATGAGAGCTTCTGAAAAACTTCTTCCGAAACAGCATCCACACTGCAAAAGTGCATCAAAAAAGCGATCTGCTTTTTCAAAAGAGAGCATCCAGACTGAATGGATGCTCTCTTGCATGTAAGCTGTGATTGCAATGGATGGAATGGCCACCAACAAAGCTCTTATTCCTATAAAGCTCCCTCTTCCCCATCTACACATGCTTTTTCATGAAAGAGCTCTTTCTCAAAAAGCCTTCTTCCTCATAGAATGAGAAACCCTTCTGTTCTTTCTTGTGGAAGAACACAATTGCAATGTAGACATTTCTCAAGTTTTGTTGAAAAAACAGCCATTTTTCCAACAAAATTGCAGTGGTGCAATTATGTATTACCTCCACAAATCTTCATTTATTGATAGGAATAATGAATCAAGCTAGCTGAAGTTTCCATGAAAAAAAGAAAGTTCATCATGCTTTTCAGTTCTCTTTGCACTCCAAAATAAACTCAGAAAATTCAATACAAACTTTTCTAGATACTGCTTTGGTTCAATTTAGTGTTCTGTATCAGGGAGCTTTTTGAAATGAGTTCTCTTTCTATTTTGTCCAATTTCTACACATAAATGCATTGATGAAAATGCCAACATTTCTTTTTCAATTTAAGTATGCTCATATGGAGAAAATTGTACTAATCTTATGCTGAGTATTACTTGCCTGGTAAGTAGTCACATAAGTCGGGATGGCAAGACCAGACTCACATTTCCATGACATTTCAAATACTGAATATTTCTTAGTAGTTGCTTGCATTTATTTTATAACCATGTAGGCCTCACTTTTCAAAATTCATGACTACAGAGCCTTGCCAGGATAGGCTGGGGTTAAAATATGACTTTTACTCCTCCCCATTCTTATTTCTAATTTCTGACATCATAGATTCATGGATTTCCAGTTCAGCCTCCAGTATAACACAAAGGATTGAATTTGGCCAGCCACTTATATTTTTCATTTGATTAGAGCATATATTCCAGAAAGGCATAAAGGTCTTGAATTGAAGACATCAAGACATGAAGAATCTATCAGTTCTCTTGATACTTTGTTCAAATTGGTTACAAAAGTCATGACTTATTTCTAATTGAAATTTGTCTGAGTTGATTCCAGCCATTGGCTCTCCCTATAACTTTCTGTTACATTAGAGCACCCTGCCGTATCTGCTATTTTCTCTCCATGAAGATAATACAATGTAATCAATTTATGCCTTACTATTCCTTTTGATAAGAAGCTCATTTAGTTTAGTTTAAGTATCTCATTGTAAGATATTTGTCCAGATAACTAATTGTGCCTCCTTTCTGCTTCCTTTCCATTTTTTCAACATACTTCCTAAAATGTGGACATCAGAACTGGGTACAATATTTCCAGTATTGGTGTCACAAATGCTTTATGTATAAGTAAAAAAAACCCACCTCCCTACTTCTATTTACTCTACCCCACTTTATACTTTACACAATAATTGCATTAGACTTTTTGCCTTAGCATCACAGTTTAGTTGTTTTCTGCTATGATCACTATAATCTTTTCAGAGTCATTGCTTTTGAACGTATATTATTTGTGAGTACTATTTGAGGATCAGGACCATAGTTGGCTAGCAAAATAAAAGTAACAGAACAAGCAGTATAAAATGAACAAAAGCTGACCTTTGCAAGATGGATTCGGATGCCATCCATTTTCGGTACATTCTGCATCAGATCTTTCACCAAATGTATATCCTTTATTACAAGTAAACTGCAACTGATCATGCTCCTTGAAAACTCTCTTTAGAGTAATTAATTTCCCATTGTTAATTGTTGGTGGCTGGCAGATTACCTCTAAGGACGAAAGAAACAAAATCCATAACCAGTTGTGATGCCTAAAAGAACACCCAAAAGAATTTATTTTTATATGGTTATTTTAGAATTATATTAATCAGGAAATATTAAATCTGTGTTTCAGAACAGAATTTAAATAAGTAGTCTCTATAGAAATATAAAGACCTATCTAGACAATGGGATAGATTTCTTGAATCTTTCTTTGGCTCTGGAAGATTTGTTTGGGTTAAATAAACAGAAAGCAAAGACAGGTCAATGTCATGAAAGGAGCATCACTTCACCATCATCTTTAAACAACAAATATATTTAATACCAGCCTTCTGCTTTTGAATTAAAAGAAATAGGGGGAGACCAGAGCTGCAAATGTTAGTTAGCCTAACTGTGAGAACAAACAGTTAATGTACCTATCACCTGTCACACATCTCCTAGATAAACATCTTCATATTCAGTTAACATATAAACAATTTCAGGACTCTGAAAACTCATGGGTTCAATATTAAATGGCAATGTTAAGAAATCCTCTCAGAAGCAAGTATGCCTGGTGCCAGGATAGTAGCAATTCAATCCCATACTATCATCTCCATTTGTAAAACAAATTAAGAATCTAATAAGTGATGTATCTGGCCATGTCAGT